GCCCATGTTCTGCACATTTCAGCCCATGTTCTGCACATTTCAGCCCAGGTTCTGCACATTTCAGCCCAGGTTCTGCACATTTCAGCCCAGGTTCTGCACATTTCAGCCCATGTTCTGCACATTTCAGCCCAGGTTCTGTACATTTCAGCCCATGTTTTGCACATTTCAGCCCATGTTTTGCACATTTCAGCCCATGTTTTGCACATTTCAGCCCATGTTTTGCACATTTCAGCCCATGTTCTGCACACTTTAGCCCATGTTCTGCACACTTTAGCCCACGTTGTGCACATTTTAGCCTACGTTGTGCATATTTTAGCCGATGTTGTGCACATTTCAGCCCCATGTTCTGCTCATTTCAGCCGATGTTCTGCACATTTCAGCCCATGTTTTGCACATTTTAGCCCATGTTTTGCACATTTCAGCCCATGTTCTGCACATTTTAGCCCATGTTCTGCACATTTCAGCCCATGTTCTGCACATTTCAGCCCATGTTTTGCTAATTTCAGTCCATGTTGTGCATATTTCAGCCCATGTTGTGCATATTTCAGTCCGTGCTCTGCACATTTCAGCTCGTGTTTAGCTCATTTCAGTCCATGTTTTGCACATTTTTGCCAGAGTTTTGCTAATTTCAGCTTGCATTTTGCTAGTTTAGGCCTGTATTTTTCTCATTTCACTTTGTTTTATGGTTATCATTGTCTGTGTTTTGTTCATTTCATCTCCTGTATTGCTCGACTTAGCCAATATGTCGCTAGCTTTAGCATTTGTTTAGATTGTTTTAACTTTTAACAACTCGATTTTAACTTCTTCATCAAACTTCAGCTAGGTCAATCAGCACCCTGCGTTCACACTGAATTTTCACAGAAAAACACAATTTCTTTGATTACTCGTCTGTCTTTGTCCAGCTGTTTTGTGCAGCTTTATGCCTTAAATTAAACATTTCACAGTCTGTGGTGTGGAATGTGTTTTATTTATTTATTTTTTCGTGTGGGTTTTTCTGTTTTTGTTTCGCTACTCAGTTCAGCTGCTTCTCTCTGTGACCTGCTGCCATTTCTCCTCTGCCATCCTTCTCTTTCACAGCCACGCTAAAGTCAGCGGGCGTGTCTATTTGATCATAAATAGGTGGGTATCTGCTCGCTTTTTCGTAGCACCTATCACCAGCTCAGATTTCTTCTGAATCCCAACGTCTTCCTCCTGTTGCAAAAAGTCCTACCCTCTCCAATCTCTCCCAGTTGTTTATTTTTCAAAGACGATGCTAAACTTTAACGATCTCCTCGAGTTGAGGTATTTTACATAACATGTTGGTTCTTTTTCAGGTTTGATGTTTGTTTTTCTGCTTGTAGCCTTTTCTTTTTGGACTTTACGTTGCTTTACAGACTTTTACCCAGAGCCTTTTCAAGATACATCCTTCTATTTCTGACAGAAAACCTGTTTCTCAAGCATGTTCGGATCTGCAAGAACGTCTTCCTCTCCAGCAATGATCCAATGATCTACACCCTGTTTGTACAGAACATCTCCCCCACCCCACCCACTCCCCAACGAAGCTTGTCTCCCTCAAATGATTGAACTCCTGTGGCCAGTTTCTATGAATCTGTGTGGATATTTTGGTGATTTTTCAGGTTGTCCTCGTTGTTGACATTGATTATTTTTGTGTGTAACTTTTATTTTCCTGAGCAGCATCAAAGAAAAAATTCCCTCCCATCAGAGCAAGTAAGTGTGACTGGATGGCAGAATGCTTGCCTTAAAATTCAGAAAACCTTGACAAGCGCTCCATTGCCTGAGGAGATGATAAAGATGTGTGGTTAATCACTGCCTCCCTTGAGCTAAAATTTAACAGCTGCAAGAAAAAAAATACTACCCACACACGATGAGATTGTTTTAAAGAATGCATTAGGAATGTGCACTGCTTCCTCATTGCAATGCTTGATCTGTCAGCAGACAAAAACGCTGACCATTCCCATCTGATCATTTGCATCAGAGCTGTTATACTTCCACCTGGACCCTGTGAACGAGAATGTATTTATATACTCATGAGGATCTGTTTCTTTAAAGTGCAGCTGTCAAAGTTGAGCTTAAAACCCTCTGAAACTCAAGACTAGAAAAGAAAGTTTTATTAGAAAGAACCTCTTCATGCCTATGCAGGTCTGTGAATGTACGGCAGCTGCTGCTCTGCTCAAACATAACTTTCTTTTGATGGCAACAAAAGCAAGCAGCTAGCGAGCTGGTAAAGATGGCGTCCAATTCTGAGTCCCGTCAGAAAGGCAGAAGATGGACACACTCAGGAAAAGTTGATTTGAAGAGCTGGAGATTAAAACATGTGTTAAGCTGCCTTTAGGCTCAGGCCTCCCTTGCAGAAAAGATCTGCTATCTCAGTGGGATTTGCTTGGTTAAATAAAAGTGAATTAATAAATAATTAAATAATTTACTCTGACAGCTCAAGAAAATGCTGATTTTTTTTTTTTACTTCACCTACCAGCGTTGATTTTCTTATGTTCACCTGACATGTTTGCTCAGTTTAATCCCCTAAAAAGAATCAAAACGGTTTTATGTCTGAAGTGTTGCGAATGAATCTCAGCTACAACTATCCCAAACCTGAGCTCAACATCTGTAAAACTGACTTGGATATAACCACATTTGTGTTCTTTAAGTTCAGTTAGCTGTCGTAGCCATCTTGAATTGGGTTGGCTCCAAATGTTAAATACAAATAGTTACATCCAGTTATTATTTCCTGAAAGTTTCAATAAAATATGTCCAGTGGTTCACGAGGTATTTTGATAACAGACAAAGGCGATAATGATTCAAACCCAGTATGCCATGCAAAATGACAAAGGGTTCTCACAAAAATGTCATATTTACAGCTCTAGGGCTCAAATATTTAAATATTTTATCGTGTTACTAGTTAGAAAACAAAAAGTCTAAAAGTAAAAACCTCCGGCGGGCCTCATGAGTTTATAAATACAGACGTGTTCGGGTGAACAAGTGTCTCACCGAGTGAATCTGCTCCTGTGTCTTCAGACTGGTGGACCAGGACGGAAGCCTGGCGGACCTCACCCTGCTCAGCGCGAGCTCGGTGGACGCTGTGCTGTTCCGGGACAAGCAGGGGGAGCAGGAGGAGTGGGGCTCGGAGAAAGAGAAGGAGCAGGCCCTGGTGGTGGTGATGGACGCCGACGAGACCGACGAGAAACCCAGCAGCCTCTCGGACCAGCGCCAGTCCAGCATCGACGAGAGTCAACGCTGCAGCGCTGCAACTGAACCAGAACCGAGCACCGAGCAGAGCTCAGGTACCGAGGAACACCGCAGACCCACTAAGTATGACAATAAATGTGCTGTTTTCTTGTCAGCCATTGTTAAGTTTGTCCCATCAGTTTAGCACAGAATGCTACAAACACTTAAACATAAAAGTTGACAAAAATACATATTACTTGGGATAATTGGTTCCTATTTTTATTGTATTGCTTCTTCTTCTTTTGGCTGGTCCCTCTTCACGAGTATTCTCCTCCATTTCACTGTGTCCTCTGCATCCTCTGTCCTCACTCCAACTACCTCCATGTCCTCTCTCCATATTTCTCCTCTTTGTCTTTTTCCTGGCAGCTGCATTTCTAACATCCTTCTACCAATATACCCACTGTCCCTCCTCTGGACATGTCCAAACCATCTCAGTCTGACCTCGAACTCCACCTGTGTAGTGGAGTTAGTTTCTCAGTAGCACCACCTTCTATTGAAGAGTGGAAGCATAGCAAGTGTTATGTCTCAGGCGTTGACCACACAGAAGAGCATTATTTCCAAATCAGTGGTTTTATTTGTTGTTTCTAATAATATCTGATGGTGTTATACAGCTCAGAGACCTGTCTTTGTCTACATTAAACACAAAAATGTTGAAGTCCTAATGTTAAATGACCTAAAACGTTGTAGTAACTACACCAGGTCTGTATGTGGCGCTGTGCCACATCCACCAAAATACACAAGAAGCATAAAAACAAGACTTGGAGCATTAACGTAAAACTCACAATCTGGGATTAAAATGTAAACACAATAAGAAAAAGTACCCCAGAGTGGAAGGTTAGATTAGAGGTGGGGCTGTGACATCATCATTTCTAAAAAGCCGTCTACACAAAAACACAACCGTGGAGTTTAAAGGCCTTTTTAATCTGAAACCAGTTTTCCATAAATATCGTTTCAGAGCTCCTAAAATGCATTTTTTATGCGAACGCAACGCTGAAATTATAAACTTGCACTTGTTTGCCAGAAAACTTAAAATTACCATAACGGTTTTAAAGAAAATAAACTTCCCTCCAAAGCCAGGATGAAAACATGTGCTGTCATAGTACTTTTTGCTGCACTCTGCATTAGCAGTGGTTTTACACGGTATGCTTTGGATATGATGTCATTGCTCAAATATGTGGGTGTTGCTCGCTGGTGCTCGTATGAGAGCTTGTGTGTAATGCTGTAGGTAATGTTTACACTGTTTTCAGCTTAGATTCATGTTTTCAGTCAGGTTTGGATGTAAAAAAGACGTCTGCTGTGAACGGCTTGAAAAGGTCAGACTGCCGGCAGCCGGCACTCTCCCCAGTCAGTCGTTCATCAATGCAAGCCAAGTGGTTTAAAGAAGAAAAAAGGATCGCATTACAGATTTTTGCAGTCGCTGGATTTATTTCTAGTTTTATATTTGGACCCAGCGTATGGCTGAAGTGCTCACTTATCATTCTCCGGCTCACACCGAGTAAAACTAAAGGCAGTCGAGCTGCTCTTAAATTAAAACATAGTTTATACACAGAAAGTAAAAGAGGCAATAAAACACGGCCCTGCAGGACCTCTTATTTTATAATGAGCATGCTATGTGCCGTCTTGGAGTTTCTTATCCAAACAACGAGGCCTCTGTTAAAACCTGAGATAATGTGGCTTCTGTGAAGCCGTACACCCTCTGCTGAACTGTGGTGAGACGTTTAATGTTCTTTATGAGAAAATAAAGGCGAGTATTACAGTGAGGCCTAATTCTCAGGTTGTTAAAGTTCAGGTTTGGAGTTTTACTGTTGATTCTTAGTTTTGTTTTTTATTAAGTTCAGGCCAATCATGACGCTCTGCTTATGGGAAAACGTACACATCTGTACCATCAGCAGAACAGATGTTAAAGCATGTTTAATGATTTTTTTATTATTATTTTAAAAATTAAAGTCTGAAAATGGAACTTGGGCTGAGCTTCACACAGCTCACACACTGGATGTTAAAACAATGGAAGAAGATCCAACATTTTTCAGTCAGGTCATCTGGACAGTTTTTTTTTTTTTGTGCTGAAACGTTTGTTCCAAAACTGGTTTGTTCCAAAACTGGTTTGTTCCACTTTGGAGTAAGCTGTTGGGGGAAGAATCAGTTTTGTTGTGTGTTTCCTTGACTGATGAAGCCTTCTGGATCAAAGGCGAAACGTTTCAGCACAAAAAAAGAAACTGTCCAGATGACCTGACTGAAAAATGTTGGATTGTATATCTGGATTATTGAGCATGGACTTTAATGGAAGGTTCATTTCCAACTGGTGTGAGATTATTTCCAGAATCTGGGCACGAAATGCTCTGCTTGTCTTCATGACACTACACGAAGCTTCAGCAAAAGCAGCTTATTATCCCATTCTGCCATGAAAGTTTTTTTTTTACCTTCTCCAGCTTCTGTCGCTTATTCGTGGTCAGGTCTCAGAGGCAACAGGTCCACGAGAAAAATCCAGACTTCCCTCTCCCTAATCTCCAGCTCCTCCTGTGGCTGTATCTGATCTTCTTCCCAGTGGGATTTGCTCAGAAATCCTCCAAAGGGAGGTATCCAGGAGACATCCTAATCAGATGCTTGAATGCTCAATTGACTCCTTCAATGAATGTTGGATGCAGATGACGGAGCTCCTCACCACGTCTCTAAGGATGTGCCTGGCCACCCAACGGAGGAGGCTAATTTTAGCTGATTGGATCCAGGATCTTTTTTTTAAATCATGATCCAAACCTCATGACCATAGCTGAAGATTGACAAACAAGTAAATTCAAAGCTTTGCCTTGTGGCTCAACTTTTTTCACCACAACAGACCAAAGCAACACCCTCATTATTGAAGGCAAGGCCCCAATCCATTGATCCATCACTTGTGAACCAGACCAGATGCTTGAACTTCTCCACCCCAAGCAAAGACTCCCCCTGACCCGGAGGTGGCGTTCTACCCATTTCCAGTTGGGAACCATGGCCTCAGAGTTAGAGGAGCTGAGTCCCATCCCAGCTGTTTCACACTCACTTCGAACCGCCCCAGTGCATGCTGAAGGTCAAGGCCTAAATACACCAACAGTTGATATTCATATGTTGTTTTTCTAAACCACTGAAAAGACCAAACTGCTGCAATTAAAAGCAGAACCTGCACAGAACGTTCTGTTTTGCTCTAATTTACTTTCTTTGTTGTCCCATTCAGGCTTGTATTTTTGTTTTCTCCTTTTAGACCTGAAGAACAAGTGGCACCTGGTGGTCGACCGTCTCACAGTCCTCTTCCTCAAGTTCCTGGAATATTTCCACAAACTGCAGCTGTTTGTTTGGTGGTTATTAGAGATCCACATCATCAAGATCGTATCGTGCTACATCGTTATGGTCTCTGTCAGAGAGGTAAGAACGCTCCAGGATCTGTATCTGCAGCAGTAGAGTTCTTTTTTCTTTAAAAGCAAATAAATTATTAGGGATACACAATATTATTGGCATGGTATCGGCCGTTATTAGCGATAAAGTTAAATATCGGACATCGGACATTCCATCAAAATAACTCACCGATATAAAAGACGCTGTTTATAGCATTTGCATTTGGTAGCAGGCCAAATTGACAAAGACCATGCAGAATAAAGCTATGTAGTCTCTGTATGTCGGTCTAGGAGAAAAATATTGGTATTGTTTTTTTGCCAAATAAGTTTTAACATATCAACGTATCGGATATCAGCCAAAAATCCAATATCGTGCATCCCTAAAAATTATTTAAAATCCTGAAACGAATATAAATTGGGGATTTTAAATTGTGCAGGAAGTTGATTTGAGCAAAAAATAGAGATATGAGCTTTGTTTGTTTAATTTCCTAATCAAAACTGAGCAAGATTAGTATTTTCATTATTTATTCAGTGCTGAGTTTCTGTAAAGATCCGTTTATGGTTCAGCATGTTTAGTTTGAAGAAAATGCTCACCTAAAAGCTCTGTACAAAGATGTTTTTATACTAGTCATAGCAAAATATGTTTAAGTTAGTTTGCAGGAGGGAAAAGAAGGAGAATGTTGGTGGAAAAAGTCTTTGTGTTCATTTTCCTGTCCTCATCGCCTGTATTGTCTCTTGTTCAGGTTTCTTTGCTCAACTATGTGTTCCTGGCGTCCTGGGCCTTTGCGCTGCCGTACAGCCAGTACCGGCCCCTGGCCTCCAGTGTTTGCACTGTTTGGACGTGTGTCATCATCGTGTGCAAAATGTTGTATCAGCTGAAGACTATAGACCCTGATCCATACAACTGCACTCTAGTAACTATCTTTTGTGGCATATTTTGTATGCTTTCCAAACTTTTTTCTCATCGTCTGCAACAGGTTTACTTTTAATCCAATTTAAAATGTCTTCCTACGTTTTTGACCTCTTTGCACAAATCTTTACATATAGTACCTGTGTTACTCTTTGCATCATGCTTTCTGTTTCTGTGCACAGCCAGGTACCTACACAGGAGCTCAAAAGGTAGAGGTTACGGTCTCTCCGCTGTACACGAAAAAGGGAGATCCAGGAAACTGGGTGGGCCTGGAGAAGAATCAAGACCTGCTGGGCTACCTCAGGGTAAAGAGTGAAAATGCTGATGTTTGTAAAAAATTAATAAAGACCTACAGTATGAATCATGTGAGTAGAAAAAGCTTCTGGGCTGACTTGATGAACCGTCGTTTTGACTACAAATACCGGAGAACTTAGCAAAAATTTAATTTACAAAATACAGGTTTAACATTTCTTCAAGGACTGTATTTCACTCACATCCTCTCAAGCCAGAGTTTTGAAGGAAGATCATTTTATGTTGAAAAATCACAGACTTAAAGGTGTTTAACATGATGTGCAATCCCACGTCATATTTGAATAGAATAAAATAGATCTTTATTGTCACTACAAAAAGCATTGCTAAAAACAAACTAAAAACAGTGAAACACAGTTTGACCTCCTCTGTGGCAGCAGTACCTACGCTTCCTCTAGTTTACTTGCCTTGGCAGGGCGCTCATATCTTCCATGATTCTGTTGACAGGGTGAGGCGCCCTGCTTGTATCAATCAATCAATCAATCAATCAATCAATCAATCAATTCAACTTTATTGTCCATAACATTCAATGAAATGGAGATTTGTCTTTGACATCTGGCTTATAAAAACAAAATAAAAATGTGATTAAAAAACTTTAAAAACTTTAAAACCAAGCTTTGCTAAATCAATTATGGTAGGTGAAGCACTGAGTACACAGTATTAATACACAGTAATAAGTTAGAAGAACATATCCAGGATAGAATGTATGTATAACAAACAGTTTATGCAAATTGGGTGTGCAAACTCACACTCAGTCATTACAGTTAAGTAAGAGTATTTTATTATCTGATATCTTCTGCCAGAGGAGGGACTACAGGTTGTGTCCTGGGTGAGTAGGGTCCTTTGCAATAGTAGTGGCCTTGCTCTGAAGTTGTCCATTGTAACTGTCACCGAGTGAGGGTAGTGTGGTCCCAATGATTTTACCAGCTGCCCTCACCACCCACTGCAGGTCTCTCCTGTCCTCCTCAGTGCAGCTGGTAAACCATACTATGCAGCAGTAGGTCAGGATGGACTCGGTGGTGGCCCCATAACGTTCATCAGTAATGGGCGAGGGTGGTGAGCCTGCTTCAACTTACTGAGGAAGTAGAGCCTCTGTTGGGCCTCCCCCACCTGGTATGAGATGTTGACATCCCAAGCAAGGTCAGCCGAGATGATCACACCAAGGAACCTCACTACCGCCTCTTGGTTAATGCAGAAATGGAGTGCTCTGTGTGCTTGGATCTCCTGAAATCCATAATGTTATTTGGTCTTACTCGTGTTTAGGTCCAGGTTGTTATTGTGCCACCATTCTGTCAAGTGCTGGACCTCCTCCCTGTGGGCTGATTGGTTGTTGTCCGTTATCAGCTCTACAATGGCTGTGCCGTCAGCGAACTTGATGATGGTATTAGTGGATTGAATGGGGATGCAGTCATATGTGAACAGGGAGTATAGGAGGGGGCTGAGGACGCACCCCTGTGGCGTGCCCATATTCAGGTTGAGAGTTGAAGATGTGCGGTCTCCCATCCTATTGTTATGGGGTCTGTTGCTCAGGAAATCCAGAATCCATGCACACAGTGAGCTGCCCAGGCCCAGCTCGCTTAGTTGCCCAACCAGTATGTGGGGAATTACCATATTGAAAGTGGAACTGAAGTCCACCAACAGCAACCTTACATAAGTGTTCCTTCAGGTGAATAGAGCTGGGTGGAGAGCTGTACCGCGTCCACTGTTGACCTGTTTGCTCGATAAGCAAACTGATGTTGGTCAAGGTCAGCAGGGACAGCAGATCTGATGTGAGAAATAATGAGTCTCTCAAAACATTTGATGATAATGGGGATTAGAGCAACTGGGTAGAAGTTTTTAGGCAGCTCACTGTGTTCTTCTTAGGTAACAAGACCATGGTGGCTGACTTGAGGCACGTAGGGATTGAAGACTGTTGCAACGAGAGGTTGAAGATGGTGGTGAATACCTCTGCTAGCTGGTCTGCACAGGTCTTATGAATCCAGACAGACACACAATCTGGTCCAGGAGTTTTCCTTGCGTGGACTCTGCGCAGTGTGACTCTGACCTGGTTCTGGTGCAACTGGATGGGGTGCTGTCTTCTGATGTTCTGAGGGGTGGTTTCCAAGTCACTACCCTGCCTGTCAAAATGAGCAAAAAGGCAGTTTTATGTGTCTGGGTGGATGCTCATATTGTATGCAATCTGTTAGTACTGAGTATGTGTGAGGAATGACTCTCAGCTTACTACCACAGAAAATTTTAGCTCAGTGTCTGTAAAAATACCTGCATGATAGCCATTATTTTTTTTTTTTCAAGGTCTAGTTGTGGTGGCGCCTCTCATTATTCTCCTTATTTCATGGTCACTCAGTTTGTGAGGACGTCCTGCTCTTGGTAGATTTACGCATGTCCCATGTTCCTTTTGTTTCTTGAGGATGGATTTAATGGAACGTCTGGAAATCGTTCTGTATCCATCACCTGACTTGTACGTTTTAAAAATCATTTCTTTGAGGTAAATTAGGACAGTCTTTTCAAAGGGGATGAATATTTATGTAATCACTTATAGCATGTCTATTTTAATATTTGGTATTACTCTGTAGAAATTAGATTTCACTTTGACTATGACATTTTCTTCCTAAAAAGCCATTTTATATCAACCATGACTGATTTAAAATAACATTAAAATATACTTTTTATATGCACAATAAGCATATTATTTAAATATTTGTGTGCAGAACAACCTTTTGATGCTGGCTCTTCTGGCCTTTGAGGTGACCATTTACCGCCATCAGGAGTACTTCAGGCTGAGGAACAAACTGTCGCCTCCAGCGGCCAGAATCATCTTCCATGACGTCACTCGCCAACACTTGGACATCGGCATCATCTGCTTTATCAAATACTTCATCAACTACTTCTTTTACAAATTTGGGCTTGAGGTAAAACGTGGGATAACGTTAACATTTCAGCAGGAAGTGTTGTGTTTTAGGGCCTTGATTGTAGCATTTGTGTTTCCCCCAGACATGCCTGCTGCTGGTGGTGAATGTCATCGGGCAGCGGATGGACTTCTATGCCATGCTTCATGCCCTCGCCTTGATCGTTGTCATGTACAGACGGCGAAGGAAAGCCATCGCTGAGATCTGGTCCAAGTACTGCTTCTTTCTGGCCTGCATGCTGACGTTTCAGTACTTTGTCTGCATTGGGATCCCGCCTGCTGCTTGTAAAGGTTTGTGTGTTCGAATAGGCCGGGTTGTAGCCACAAACACCACAACGGTACATTAAAGCTGCTTCATCCACCACTTTTGATGCACGTTTGCCTTTGTTTTACTTGTTGCCAAGCGGAGGCTTTCGCTCCCAGCCCCGTCTCTAAAAGTGCTCCACAAATAAAGCTGACATTTGAGTGTTTATCTGTGCGTCTCATGAGGATGTTTTCATTTCAGACTACCCCTGGAGGTTTCCAGGCTCCTCCACGGACTCCAACGTGATCAAGTGGCTCTATGTCCCGGATTTTTTATCAAAGCCAAACCCATATTTCCTCATCTGTAAGTTATTTAATGAAGCAGGAAACCCTTTTATGGGTAGACTAGAAATGTGCACCATTTAGGAAAAAGCAGCAACGCTCTTCGTTGTAATAAAAATTTTAAACCCTAATGTAAGACACTCCACTCTATCACCTGTCACCGACTGGCAAAGGCGATAATGTTTTTGCCCAAAAGTAATCACAGGTTTGACATTTACAACTGATTAGCTTTGGGCTCAACCTGATTCAAGATGGCTGTCACGGCCAACTGACCTTACAAAACAAAAGCTGGCTGTATATCTGTGAATTTTACAGATATTGAGCTCAAGTTTGGTGTTGTAGTAGCTGACAGTGGTTCACAACAATTCAATTCAGTTTATTTATGTAGCGCCAAGTCACAACAGAAGTCATCTCAGGTCACTGAACAGAAACATTCCTATATAAAATAATAATTTAATACTATTTATCTTTGGAGCAGACTGCTTTGAATTTAACTCCATCACAGAACTCTCATCTTGAGCAAGCATGAAGGAAACAGTGGAAAGGAAAAACTCCCTCATGAGAAAGAAACCTTTAGCAGAACCAGGCTCAGGACAAGCGGCCATCTGCTTCGACCGGCTGGGTTTGGTAGGAACAGATACACAATGGCAGGTCAAGAATCACATGTTAAGATAGAAATAGTATAAAATGAAAACTATTCAATTTTAGCAAATCATTTAAGGAAATGAGGTCAATTTGTCTTCTTGTAGTCTAAGCCTATGGCAGCATAACAAGCCAACCTTAACTATAGGATTTATCAAAAAGGAAAGTCTTAAGTCCAGTCATAAAACTGGACAATGTGTCAGCCTCACGGACAGAAGTTGCTCCACAAGAGAGGAGTCTGATAACTGAAAGATCTTCCTCCCATTCTGCTTTTGGAAACTCTAGGAGCCATGAGTAAACCTGCAGTCTGAGAGCGAAGTGCTCCGTTAGGGAAATATGGAACAATAAGATCTCAAATATAAGATGGAGCTAGGTTGTTGAGAGCTTTGTATGCAACAAATACTCTGGGTGCAACATCTTTGCTTTAAACCTTGATGTTAACTGTTGGAGTCTACCCTATTTGTCTGTTAGCAAAATATTTCATAATCCACTTAACACATTTTAATGAAGCTCTCAAACCCATTATTGGCTGTGCATTTAACTGATTATCTTTTGGAGTCCATCATTAGCCTGCACAACTATGTTTTTATTTGTCAGTTTAAGAGATATTGAGCTAAATTTGGTGTGGAAGTAGTTGAGAGTCATTTCCAGCACAAACTCCAAGCACATTACATGATTACACATCATTTTATTTTAAAAGTTTGACCTTAACAAATATAACTCAGTCGTTTTTTACGTTGAGTTGATCTTGGTGTGAAACTCTGGCTTTGCATGTGGCGGGCGATATGCAGTCCTTTAAAGAAAGCTCAAACTTTAGTTTGTTTTGTTGTTATAACACTTTTCATGCGCTTTAGCCTCTCATCCAACGTCATTTAAACTGGATATGGGTGTCGAGAGTCCATTAGGTTGACCCGATATGTTACTGGCTTTAAGATTCTCTGCAGTCACACAGTTTTAACTACATGATCCAATTTTATTAGTTATTCACTCACTTCAGATGCAAAATCAGGGTATTAGCTAGTAATAAATGTATACCAAGTGCATGCTGTGGGTTTAAAAAGGGTGCTATTTATTTTTTATTGCAGACAACTGCAATGAGTAAACTTTCTTAAACCACAGATTGAATTTGTGAGGAGAGCATAAAGAGAAAGAGACATTATGAATATACCTAATTGATTTTGTTCACCCCTCTCAGTTGCAAAGTGTCTCCTCTCCTTCCAGACGACTTCATGTTGCTGCTGTGCGCCTCACTCCAGAGGCAGATATTTGACGATGAGAACAAGGCTGCGGTCCGTATCATGGCCGGCGACAACGTGGAGATCTGCAGAGACCTGGACGCCGCGTCCTTCAGCGTTCACAACCCCGTACCTGACTTCATCCACTGCAGGTTACTCAACACGTCATTCACTCAGCAGCAAAGCGTGGTCCAGTTATGATCTAAATTCATGCTTCACGGAGACGCTTCACTGCAGCTCATCGCACTTTAAAACAATCTCCAACATGTAAATGGGCTTTTTTTTAATTAGACTGACCTGAACGTGTTGTCATGAGGTCATTTTGGTGTCTTTGCATGGCTGGGCCACCATTAGCGTGGAGGGAAACATGCTAAAATGGAAAGGAAGTGAAGCAGACGGCGTAATTGATGCCTAATGATATCAGAGGTCGACAATAAAGTCAATCTGTAATGTGTTCCAAACAACTGGAGCTATTAAAGCTATTTGGTTGAAAGTTTGTAGTGTCAGCACATATTTAAAGCTGTATGAAACAGTTTTATTAGTCAGATATTAACTTTTAAAGTACTGTGGCGTGCAGAAGGATTTTTCCTAAGAAAAAAGGCACTGATCTACCTGTTTTCTTGGTTTAGTCAAATTCCTCACCGACTAAAACTCTCCAGTGAGCAGCTCTACCAATGAATACTGGTCCACTTATCCAGACACTGAGCGTATAAAAGTTTCTGACTTTTTGATGAGACATTTACTTGAACTATCTGAGCTTTAAATCCTCTTCACAAAAAATGTATTTTTAGTTTGACTTTGGCTGCGTTTTCACTCATTTTCTGTCTAGTTCTTGTCCAACGTAACGTCCAATCAACCAAATGAAATGTCCAACATAAGCACAAACTTCATCTGAAGAACAGAACTGAAATTGTGACGGGAGAAAAAGAGGCAAAGATGAAAGAGAAACTTCAGAAAGGCTTAAGAACTAAGTCTGGATCCTTGGAAGCAAAACATAATGGATGATTTAATACTTTTATTGCATTTTTACTAACTGAACATAAAAACTGCAAAAACTGAGGATCTGGTGACAACAATTCACACTTCTCAAAGAGCTTCATGCTTTTTGTAGGGCTTGAGAATCCTCATGGTAATAAAGCCTGACAAAACCTCATAGCATCCAGGGAAGTTTAGATTTGTCACAAGAATGGTATACCCAGAGGGAAAGAACTGATGGTGATCAACTCAGACACAAAATTATCAATTCAGTGCTTTATTTACAGTGAGAAATAATTCTGGACATAACAGGAATTCTGGGGAGCAAGGAGATGGGTCAGGTCCAGAGTTCTGCAAAGGGGGGTTAATCAGAACGTGCAGGTTCCTTACTAGTAGATGGATGGTAAGATGTTTGGTTCCAAAGTCCTGTACAATCATGAGAAGATCCAGTATACTCAAGAGGGCGTGTGGTTGGAGGGCGAGGAGAACAGCTGAAGAACGCACAGGTAAGGATTCCAGGGGTTCACTAGGAGGTCCCAATAATCAGGTAGGTCCCAGGAGGTTCACTGGAAAGATCATAGGCAAAAGTGAAGTAATCACAAGACTTAGAGATTCACAAAGGGCTAGGAGCACAAACCATAGACAGGGTAATGCTCCAGCATCTGAAGGAAGTCATCAGGTGCCTTATATATGCCTGGAGCCTCATCAGGACACATTGCTTGCAGGTGTGATAGTATGGCACCCTCTGGTGACCAAAGACAGAAATGGGACAGGAAGCCCCACAAGCTTAAAGTAAAGACTTAGCATTCCATGAAGGAATGCATGTCATCCACAGCCCTTCACCCCAGAGTTTTAGACTAAGATAACCTAACCTTAGAGGGTCCAGAGTTACAACCTTTTTGGTTAAACCTCTTAAATGACGTTCTGAGTGATCTCATGAGATCTTGTGAGATCTGTTTGCACTCAACAGCCACTTCTGTGTCGTCTGAGATTGATTAGTTGAGACGACCATCTTGACTAGGGCTGACTTCAAAAGTTGAGGAATTGTGGATGTTAATCTAAAAATTACTTTCTGTGAGTTCCATTCAAATCGGTCCAGTGCAATGACTCTCAAACTATTTTTGTCAAGCTCCTTGACATTCAACCTCTCACCCCGGCGAAACACCTTTTCTTGATCTTGGGTGTACGCCCATCAATGTTAATATTCTTTAACTCTAAGAACTAAAACAGCAGAAACAGTGAGACTAACAGCCTGTGCATGCGCCTGCGGTGCCCAAACACTTTTTAGTAAACATGTCCCTCTGTGAGCTTTTAGAAACGAAGCGAGCATCGAGGTGAGGACCAGAACTCACCTCAACCGGGTTGACTTGGAGCTTCAACACAATAAATGTGTGACGGTTTTAGCAATAACATGCCCCTCCACTTTCCAAATTTACACTCTGTTTAAAGAGCAAAATAACAAATATAGCAAGAGATAGATTAGTTTTTTTGTGCATCCCTATAGGGTCAGGCTGCAACGAGGCGTTGCAACATTAGTTCCGTCTGCTACATGTTTAGACCTGGGAGGAAAACAAATTCTGCGACATTGCTGCTTTTGTGGGTACTTTACGAAAGCAGCTAAACCTGACGTGCCACAGACTGTTTGCACATCCCTTATCGTCTAGAAGGGCAGCTCATTGGAAGCCACAGAAGGCTGTTTGTTACTAAAAACACACTCAGAAATGTTTTTATTATGGATGATTATCGGTAAGAAGAAAAGCTGCCAGATGACTCCACCTCCTGTCAGTGGCTCAGTAAAATCTTATTGAGTATCTTCAGTGTACATCATTTAAAATTCTGAACACTTTCTTGTTTTCAGATCCAGAGCTTGATACTTACTTTGCAGATTAAAAACGGCGAACAGAGAATTTCTTTTGTTTTTTAAAAGGCAGAGCTCAACTGAGAGCGAGAGCATCCTGACCTGTCCACAGTCATTGATTATGTGCTCTTCACATTCCACTGTTTTGATGCGCAGAGTGGACAAGTCTTTTATTAACGCACTCTGTGTCCATCAACAAGCTCTTGTAGGCAGAGGAAAAGCTGCTCAGCCCGTCTGTCCGTGCCACGGCAGTGCTGCACTTATTCCATCGTTTCCCTCCAGGATCGAATTACGGATACGGGTTGGGAGGGAGAAATCCATAATCCACAGAAAACACTCTGTCCGTCACGCTGAGACTCAGACGCTTTTGCCCTGTACTCTAACTCAATAAATAGCTTTTAAGTATGGAAAAGGTATTTTCTCCCCCTGATGAAGAAGGACACTCACTCAGCTGTTCCGGCCCGCATCATCGCCGTCGGTCTGATCCGATCTGATGCTACTTCACTCTGAACAGAGCAGCTGTTAGATCCATGTTAATGACTGCTTCACTCCTCACATCACTTAAATGGTCTCTTATATAGTGAAACAGGATGCGTTCACATGATTTTAGCGTGTTCGACACTCACAGGACCTAAACGACAACATCAGGTTATCGCTCCGGTTCACATTCATTGATCAGACTCTTACCGGTTCCCTGACAGGAAGTCATGCACTGAAGATGACTGATGAGCAGATTAAACATAAAGCAGCAGAACTAAAATGTTTTAACGTATATTACTGGCGGTAAACGTGCACTCTCGTCTTTAATTAGTGGCTGAATGCAGAGGCGGATCCAAATATTTTTTTTAAAGGTGGTAAACGTGTGGCATGAGTTTCCAGAAGGAATCTACCGTAGCTTTTATCTGAAAATGAAACAGATATACTTCACCTGTCACCTGCTGCTCCAGGGGTAGAACGTCAGAATCCATTTAGCCGCAACTGTAATGTTTGAGAGGTTTCTGCTGAAGTTTGTAGGTCCTGTAGGCAGATAAAACCAGTTTTCAATTCACTTGAGATGTTTGAAAATTCAAAATGAGCAGGTTAGGTTAGAGATTGATGTTCTGAGGAGATCCTAGACTTTCAACTGGTATCAAATGTAATTTATATATTAAATATCCTACAAATAGAGTGGAAACTGGGGGTTTTGCAAGATATTTTTTCCAGTGGCACCTGCCACATGTGGTAGAGGTAGAGCAGCCGACTTGGGACCAGAAAGTCGCAGGTTCAACTCCCCACCATGCCCACAGGTTTTGGTGTCATTGAGCAAGAAAGACACCCAATCCCTAACTGCCCCCTGGGTGCTTACATAGCTGCCCACTGCTCCACCTGGCTGTGTCTCACGTGTGATGGGTTAAATGCAGAGAACTAATTTCATCACTGTACGTTTCCATATAATGATGACAACATATAGTACACACTTTATACTAGAACCGCCACTGGCTCAGTGGCATCCTTGGTGTCCAGCACCATGGACTGAACCAGACCTTTATGTAAAAATACCCTGCTTGCTCACTACTTTATGCTCCTCATCAAAGCTTGCAACCTTTTAGCCTTCTAGGGAATTTTTATTCCCTTATCATTAAATACTTCCTAGTTTTGTGGCTTTCAGCTGTTTGGGGTTTTATTCACAGATTTCCACTCATCTGTAGAACTGGATGACTGTTGAAAAGAAGATTAAAACACAGCTGCACTTAGAAATAACACTTGAATCAACCTTTATACAGATACTAATGTGCATGTTCACAGTCAGTATTTTTATGCATTGTCTTCTGGATATATTCATGCCTACTTCCTGTTTGTTGAAATGCACTTAGTCTAAACAGTGTTTAAATCTACCTTTTTCAGCTGCGTTCAGTCGTTCCGACACCTGGTCAACATTGCATGTGTAGAACATTTGCTATCACAACGCAAATGATCAAATAAAGTCATTTATAAACATGTTTCTTTATAAAAGTCAGTAGTAAACCAGGTGTAAAGACCAAAACAATAGAGTTGAACACTGACCTTGAATAGCTATAAATGTATTTGGGGCATGACATCTAATTTGCTGTATTAGAAACTGTAAAAAGGTCAATAGCCACTGATGGCTCTAGGGGAGATTTGTGGCCACCATCTTGCTAGGTGCTACAGTCAGTGTTTAGATGTGCTGTCATCAGTCAGGTTCACTCTCTACACTGCTACCTGGTCCATCACAAAACAAGTCTCAATGGAATCCACTAAACTAAAATAAGGTAAAGATAGGCATGGTCACTAACCCCCCTTGTAATGACCCAGCCTTTCACAGTCTTTGTTTATCAGAATAGTTTGCAGTGCAAACCCAAAACCCGAGCTCAGATCTGATCTCATACCCTTTTTGTGTGTTTCTGTACTTTTCCACAATGTAAAATTATATATTCCTTTAAAAACTTTCCATTCACACAGTTTCCTTCATCCTCAGATCCTACCTGGACATGCTGAAGGTAATCATGTTCAGCTACCTGTTCTGGTTTGTTCTCACCATCATCTTCATCACCGGGACGACGCGGATCAGCGTCTTCTGCATGGGTTACCTCGTGGCCTGCTTCTACTTCCTGCTCTTTGGGGGCGACCTGCTGCTGAAGCCAATCAAAAAGATCCTCCACTACTGGGACTTCCTGATCGCGTACAACATCTTCGTAATCACCATGAAGAACATTTTGTCTGTGAGTAATGGTGTAATTTTATTCAAACTGGATTATTATCTGAACCTTTAACAGGAACTCAGTGCACTAAAATGAAATTTTAAAAAATTGGTCATTTTGGTTATTTTCGTCCGTTGCCAAATGCAAAATGGAGATAAAGTTTTTACCACTGTGTGTATGTGTGCGTTTGTTTGCACTGTTATATCTCATAAATCACTCTATGGATTTTAATAAAAATTATAGGAAATAATAATTTGGTGTGCTTCTAAAATTGATTACCCTTTGGAGTCAGCCCAATTCAATATGGCCGCCACAGCAAAGAGCTCTTAAACAAAAAATGACTGTAACTCTGTCATTTTAACAGATATTGAGCTAGATTATGGTGGTAGTAGCTGAGTCATTCCCAACACGTACTCTGAGCACTAACTGGTTGTGTAAGATCTGTCTAAAACTTTGCCATTAACTATTAGTATTGAATCTTTCTGTCTGTTAGCAAAACATCTCATGAGCCCATAAACATGTTGTAATGAATCTTTCAGAAAATCGTCACTAGACGGACATCTACAAGTGATTTTAGTCTCAGCTCAGTTCAAGATGGCCGACACAGCCCATGACCGTTGTAAACATAAAACTGACTATAGCTCTGTCAAGTTTACAGATACTCAGGTAAAACTCGATGTGGTAGTAGCTGAAACTCATCCCCAACAAATACTTGGAGTGCAACGTCATTTCTTAAAACTTTATCATTTACAGTTGGAGTCAACGCTGCTTGTCTGTTAGAAAAAATATCTAATTAACCATTGCACAAATGTCAAGGAAACTCTCAGAGAGTAATCTTTGCCTGTACTTCTACAACTGATTAACATTTGAAGTCCGCCAAATTCAAGATGGTCACCACAACTAATCAACAGTAGCCAACTCAAAAATGTCTGTGTGAAGTTGACAAATAATGAGTTTAAATTTGGTGTGGTAGTAACTGAGAGTCAGCCATAACATACTCACTAAGCACCATCAGGTTAGGTGAGGTGTTGCACAAGTTTGTGCATCACATTATTTTTAAGGTTTGACCGAAACGGCTGCAACTCTCTTTTATTATAAACACAAGATGATCCTAATCTAAAGCTGTGGCATTGAAGGTGGCGGGTGGTAGACTTTATTTCAAAGAATATAGGGCTTTAATTATTGATGCATTTTCTTTATTATTAATAGAGTTTACACATAGCAGCACGGTGGCGCAACTGGTAGAGCTGCTGCCTCTCAGCAAGCAGGTCCCTGGTTCAAACCCCGGTCCAGGGGCCTTTCTGGGTGGAGTTTGCATGTTCTCTCCGTGCATGCGTGGGTTTTCTCCGGGTACTCCGGTTTCCTCCCACAGTCCAAAAACATGCATGTTAGGCTGATTGGTAACTCTAAATTGTCCCTAGGTGTGAGTGAGAGAGTGAATGGTTGTTTGTCTCGTTTGTCTCTATGTGGCCCTGTGATGGACTTGCGTCCCATCCAGGGTGTACTCCGCCCCTCGCACAGTGATTGCTGGACATGGGCACCAGCGACCCCCGTGACCCAAAATGGAATAAGCGGGTAAAGAAAATGGATGGATGGATGGATGGATGGAGTTTACACATCAACTTTGTGACGTTACAAATCATGGCATTTCATGGACTTTAACAAAGTATTTGTAGAGTTTTGCTCATGATGTTTCATTAAGAAGTCTTGTTTGTAGATCCTGGCTTGTGGCTACATCACCTCCCTGATGAAGAAGCAGTGCTGGTTGATCCAGTTCTTCAGTCTGGCGTGCACCATCAAAGGTTACAAATTAGACACCAATCAGAATGATCAAGGTGAGTCGGGTCTGCAACGTAACAAAGTTGAGCCTCAGACACAGTTAGGTCTGAAATCTCATCTAATAAGCTGAAACTGTCATTTCGCTCGCAGGTCGTTTGCTCAGATTGTCCTTACTGAGAAATCCACCGTATCTTTTTAAATTAACAACTTTAAAATGATTTGTTGATGGTATTTTCATAGCTGCACATTGGTTCATGGTGCACGGTCATAAACAAAGAAGCTCTGGACGTTTAGATCAAAAGCTAATGAAATGGAAACTCTACAGAACACAGGAAGTAAAAGTGTAATTCATTAAACTTGGACAGTTTTATTCTTTTTTGTTCCTAAACAATTGAAGGACCTTGTTGCAGAGGTAGATGGTAAAACGATTTTAAAAGCCAGCGATACAGGATCTCCAACGAGAATGAAAGTTAATGGCAACTGTAAAACCAGTGAGGTACAGAGCATTATTCGGACTATTCTCCACGTCATTTAAAGGTTCTCAGATTTGGCATAGTTTACCAACGGTGATAAAAAAGTTCACATACTTTTTAATTAACTTTTTAATCTGAGGTGAACAAAGGGCTTAAACAAAAACAAATCTGTCCATATGAACACCAGTTTTTGTGGCAGATAGAGCGGTTGATGCCTTTCTTTATTCTTGTCTCCTGTTTTTATCTCTTCAAATTGTATGTGCACGTTCATTTAGTTTTACTGTGCCTTTCGCATTAGTAGTTTTTCAGGTTTAATTTTCTGAAAAATCCGACAAGGGACTGGATTTTCAAATTAGCTGGAAGGCCTGTAAATGTGGCAAGAGTTACCAAACGTCTATCGTTCTTCTTATTCTGTTTACAAGAACGGGAAGTGACTGAACAAATGAACGTGCTTCTGCTCCGTCTGTTTGCGTATTTCAATGTATTTGTGTTTCAGGTGATGGGAACATCTGTGAGCTGCCCAAAGGCGAGGCAGGGATCATCTGGGACAGCATCTGCTTCGCCTTCCTGCTGCTGCAGAGACGAGTCTTCATGAGCTACTACTTCCTCCACGTGGTGGCGGACATCAGGGCGTCACAGATCCTCGCCTCCAGGTACTCGACCGGCCTCGGGAACCTCACAAATGGCTGATTGACCCCCGTCCCAGAAGGAGGAAGGGAATTAGAAATACCCTCAGTTTGTTAATCTGTGTTGTGAGCGTGATCACTTGAAAAATAAGTGAGATACTGACTTCCATTTTGGTATGTGCCTACATGTAGAAAGGTTCCTTTTGAAAACGGAGTCGCCAGGTCAGAAGATGACATGGCTCCATACACAGTAATCCCTCGATACTTGGAGTTTTGCCTTTCACTGACTCACTCTTTTGCGGGTTTTCAATGTAAGATTGCACACATTGTTTCCCGGTGGCCTGGCCGCTCATTGATCGTCTGAGGGGTGGGGTCTGTCTGCTGCTGTGGAAGCTTCAGTGAGGCGGATACAATTCAATTCAGTTTATTTATATAAGAATCACATGTTAAGATATAATAGTATCAAATGAAAACTATTCAATTTTAGCAAATCATTTAAGGACATGAGGTCAATTTGTCCTCCAGTAGTCTAAGCTTAAGGCAGCATAATAAATCAACACTAACTAAAGAATTTATCAAAAAGGAAAGTCTTAATCCCAGTCTTAAAACTGGACAATGTGTCAGCCTCACGGACAGAAACTGGAAGTTGGTTCCACAAGAGAGGAGCCTGATAACTGAAAGAGCTTCCTCCCGTTTTGCTTTTGGAAACTCTAGGAACAACGAGTAAACCTGCAGTCTGAGAGCGAAGTGCTCTGTTAGAAAAATATGGAACAATAAGATCTCAAATATAAGGTGGAGCTAGGTTGTTGAGGGCTTTGTAGGTTAGAAGTAAGATTTTGAGTTAAATTCTGGACTTGACAGGAACCCAATGGAGAGAGAAGCTAAAACTGGAGAGAGATGATCTCTTCTACTAACTCCAGTTAAGACTCAGAGTGAGCGGCATGGATTGCTTATTTAAAATAATCAAGCGCGACCCGAACCGAGCCTTAATCTAAACCGAGCCGACCCGAACTGGGAAATGTCCCGGTGCTCCCGATGGCCAACCTGCCCCCGATTGGCTCAGTAACCGTAGCATCAGTCTGTCTGCTCTCTTTCTCTGTGCTCTTTTAGAGCGTTTAGAGAGTTAAGAACATTGCAAGAGAGTGGGAAGAGTTTATAAAGCCTTAAAATATATATAAGCACTAAAATAAATTTAACATCCCTACTTTGTGGATTTTCACCTATCGTGGGGGTGTCTGGAACGTAACCCCTGCGATAAGAGAGGGACTACTGTACAGTTTGTTTTGTTGAGCTGGATAACTTGAAATGTCACCTTCCTTATTGGTGTGTAGCTGCATGTAGGTGTAAGAAAAGACCCCGTCAAAAGTAGAGTTGTCAAAATCCAAAGTAGCGGTGATTGCTTTTTTTTTTTTTCAACACTGCTCTTAATTGATTGCATAATTTCCCAGAGTTTGAGCTCGTTCAAGGAACTTTTAAAGAACCATCTTTGTGCATTTTATTTGGAATAATTTATAACTTTTGAAGTCTGTTTTATTCATTTATTTTTGTGTTTTACACCTTTTTTATGCACAATATTTTGTTGACTTTGGTTTTAATACAACTCATACTGTAAAAACTTGTTTAGAAATAAAATCGACAGTTAAGTTAGTAGCCAAAAAATACTTTTCTGAAATAACACCTTTTTTTGTTTGAACATTACTTTTAACATTTGATAGATTAGTTTAATTTGAAAAAATGTCTGGTGATGAAGGCTGTTAGCATTCAGACTTCTAAGATTTAGTTTGTCCTAAAGCAAAACCACTTATTAAATATTAACAGTACATTTTTATTATGTTTTTTTTAAAGCTGTTAAAGATTGATAAAAAGAGGAATAAACCAAACAGTGTTTTAGCCTTATGTTTTACTCATTCGTGTGTTTCAGAGGAGCGGAGCTTTTCCAGGCCACCATCGTGAAGGCGGTGAAAGCTCGACTGGAGGAGGAGAGTAAATCTGTGGAGCAACTGAAGAGACAGTGAGCCTCCTAAACTTTGTGTGGTGTCTGTGGTTACCGCGTGTTTACAACACTTGATTTGACACAGTAATAAACTTAAATTAGATTTGTTTCAACACACGTAGCTTGAAATATTTCTGCAGCGAACTGGACTTAAGTTAAAACATAATTTTAAAGATTGGAACTCCATCCTGGAAATATAAATCCACGCTTTGTGATGTTAAACTGTCGATCAGCCAAACGTTTGAGCTTTTTTCCCTGGATGTGTAAAAGTGACCTCTCAGTGCTCAGAGTCCACAAATGCAGCACTTGGCAAGTAGGAAGAACGTCTTGTGTATCTGTGGACACCTCCAGACAACGTGCGTCACACGAGGTTAGACAAACAGGTCTTTGTAATTAAAGTTTTTTTAAATTTCCCGGCAGGCTCATTAACCACATTCACTGAATTATGTCAACTGGTTTCTCCTGAATTTCTTCAGCTCATATCTGAATATTTGTAGTAAAACAAAAAAAAAATGCTATCTGTTTAAGTTGGATCATTTATTTACCTTTTCATAAGGCTCTGTTCCAATGAAAAAAGAACAGGGCCTTCCACGCCCTCACAGAAGGCCTGAGAATTCAGCACATACAAAACATTACATTAAAATTTTTATTTAACATTTATCTTATATAAAATATATACTTTAAATTCAGCTTTTCTTAATTTTTGCTAATTTCTCTTTGTTTCTGTGCACTACTTTGCAGTTGAGCAAGAAACTTTTTAATTCATGAAAATCCAGTTAACCAATCGGATTCTTTTACATCTTTGTCGCCGGGCAGAAAAATGCTTGAAGGAGCTTTCCTATTGGTTAGGACTTCACTGTCAGGAGAGAAGGCAGAGCTGAGTCAGAGACTCTCCAGGATGAGTTTGTTTAATAGCTGTCAGGAAAATGAACCAATTATAATGTTGTTGGATGGGTGGGACCAAAACACAGAGCGCTGAGCCTTCGGGAAGGCCCTGAAGCCAGGTTTTTTTTTTGTCCATGTGAAGATTTGTGATGCCTTCAATTAAAAAAATCCACACTGAAATTCTAGTTGCTCTAAAAATGAAGGTGAATTATCACATTTAGGTTTCAGTGACGATCTTCAACTCTGCAGTTGTATTCTGGGTTCATTACACGATGAAAGCAACAGTAAAGTCAGTGGCTTATTGTTAAACAGTGTAATGTATTTTATATTACATGTTGTACTTGAAAGTAAGAGACTGAGTGAGCTGCAGGGCATGCTGGGTAATCTTCAAACAGGTGGACATTTTCATGTGATGTGTTCAGATGGGTTGTCCCAGAAAGAAAGAAACTGAAAATACCAGTGGTAGTCTGAGATTCTTCTGCATCTCAAGATCCAGTTGGAGCTAGATTTAAATGACAAACTTCAGGAATCTCATTTAAAAAAAAAGTCAATTTTTTTTAGATTCACCTCAAATATTCCTGCGGTATTTCCGGTTGTCTCTTGTTTTTGTTTTGACAAGATAAAAACAAAAAATACAGCAGTATCCAGTATTACCCCTAGCTAGCACGTCTGTGTTGCGCCCTGCTAGCTTAGTGCTACGTCAATGCCGGCAGTTGTCGACCGGAGGGGGGCGGGGCAGTTCGGTAGGCAGGGCGGTCGGTTCTGTTGACAGGGCGGGGTGCCCTCCTTGTATAATGGTAGGGGAAACGCATCAAACCGTCATTATTGTCTTTTTTGTTGGGGTTTGTTGACAGTAAGCTCCATCCAGTTTGGTGTTTCAGACAAACCTCATCAGGTTTAACTCACTCCATAATTAAGTAAACATGATTGTTGTGGTTTTAAAAGCATCTCCTGGATCAGTCTTTATTGTTTCCTGGAAGACGGCTCTTAGTATATCATCCCGCATAAAAGCAGTATGTTTCCACCACTTACGGCTTCCTCAGGAGTTGCTCATGAGCTCCGATAATATCCACTCACCCTCGCTAATGAGCGCCCGGGTGTAATGTAACATCCTCTTATTTCCTCGTCCAAGTGTTTTCGTAGTCTCTTCATTGTCTCTTTGATCTAATCAGGATGGACCGCATTAAGGTGAGGCAGCAGAAGTTCAAGAGGGGCAAGGAGAAGATGCTGAGCCTGGCGCAGGAGTCTGTGGACGGGCAGCCAGCCGTGCGTCCCATCGAGGACGAGGAGGACGATGACGGTATGAAAAAGCCCGCAGGAGACAGCGATAAGACTTCATTCATGTTGCTCAAAGATGGTGGACGTGACTGTCAGTCATGCTCATGTTGTGTAATTATGTTTAAGAGGAGCTGGAAATTATTTTATTTTTTAAATAAAATGTTGCACTGATGTATTTGTGAAATTTTAGGGGCACAGCGAGCGAAAGCCAAGACCAAAAAAAAGCAGTGGTGGAGGCCGTGGGTTGACCATGCTTCCAGTAGGTTGACCCCCCAAATCCTATATATTTCTCTTCCTCCACTGTCATTGGCCCTTTTGTCCTTGACCAGAACGCTGAGGATTCCCATACTGCCTCTGGGCTCTGAAGGCACCACGTTGTTCTGCTTCCTGCAGCCTTTAATCCTTTTCTGTCTCTATTTAAGGGGCTCTCGTTGCCTGAACGTCTCGTAGTTTAAACGCATGAAGACGTTAGGTTTAATATTAAAACCAGAGCAGGTTTGCCTTAAATAGACGCAACAAAATGAAGAAAATGACTAACGGCTGGAGGTTTGAGCTCCACGTTGTTTAATATTTCTTGCCTAAAAAGCCCGCAGTATAGAATCGCTCTAACATTTTCCAGCAAAGACATGAAACCGAACCGCCTTTATCCTCAGTACTGGAGTAAAGGAAAGGTTTGTTCATTCTTTGCCTGTAGACATGATAACCAAACAGGCTTAAAAGAAGAAAAAAAAATCATTAAACATGAATAAATATATATAAAAAAAATGTCTTTAAACTTAAAAATACGTCTAAATTTTCCCGTGTTTTCACAATCCCTGCCTGTTTGGTTTGGACTCATGTCTCATGCCACGGTCCGCCCCCACACGACATTTTACAAATTATTTTATCACTTTGTCATTCGATGTTTCATCTCCATTTCCCAGCATCCTCCCTCATTTCCTGCCCACTGCGGTTCTGTTCAAGGACATAAAGTCAGCCTTGTCTATCCTGTTGCTTCTGACACTCAGCTCTGTAGAAACGGTCACTTTGAGTAGCTTGAAGATGACATTTCCTACTGAAATCACAGACACTCATTTAAAAACACAACATACTGACATCTTTCAAAGTGCTCTGCTTCATCTTTTAAGTGTCTTATTAATCACAATTAAATATAAATAAATTCAGATTATTTATATAGAATTTAAGGGTAAGTGGGTTGTTTTTTTGTACATCGTTGGTCCTTGCTTCTTTTATAAAGGTCTGATTTGGTTCATCTAACATTTTATCTGCTTCCCCCTCAGTGGTTAGAAGTGGAGACTATTATTTATTTGAAACTGATAGCGAGGAAGAAGAAGAGGAGGAGGAGAAAAAAGACGAGGAGCCACCTAAGAAGTCTGCGTTTCAGGTGGATTATTTCTTGGGGATTCGGGACGTTTTCTGTCGATTCTTCCTTCCATAAGTTTAGGATTTTTACTTCCTGCAGCTGAGATCGTTCATAAACTGTGTTTTATTTAATGATATTTTTTACTGTCTGCTAACACAATTAAGACTAAAATCTTTCTCCGCTAACCCTTCTCCCTCTTTGTTCTCCTCATCTTCAGCGAGCAATCGGAAAGTTTGTCTCTGCTGTTCTGGCTTTACCCAAGTCTGTCATTAGGCTTCCTAAAACTGTGCTGCAGTATGTAGTCAAGGCAGGAAAGGTACTCGCCAAACTCACCTGACACCGCCTGCTTCCTGTCTGATCGTCGGCCAGCTTGGGAAACAATTAACTAATAACAGTTAACTAACTTTTTTCAGCTCATATTTCTTGTACATTTGACTTATCTACACAAAAACACTGATTTGACCCAACAAATCAAATGTGAGCTGAAAAAAAAAAAAGCTTTTGTGCTGTATTGTTTGTTGTGCGTTTGCATGAGCTTTAAGTTTAGAAACGTTTAACTCTTTGTGATCATTTCTTGTCTGCTGCTCTGGTGAATTAATATAATTAATTTTATACTGATGTTCAGAATAATTAACGGTTTATGGCTGGACATGTCGACCTCTATTAGACTTGTGTATAAACATCAGTCCATCCATCCATTTAATTTACCCACTTTTTTTACGGGTCTGATAGCAGGTGTCTATCTCCATCTATCACTGTGTGAGAGGCGAGGACACCCTGGACAGGTCTCCTGTCCATCACAGGGACACATAGAGACAAACGAGACAAACAACCATTCACTTTCTCACTCACACCTAGGGACAATTTAGAGTTACCAATCAGCCTAACATGCAGGCTCTTTGTGAGAGGAAACATTTGCACTCAGAAAAACCACATGAGTACATGAAGAACATGTAAATGTCACCCAAAAAGGCCTAAGAGCAAACCTGTGACCTTCTTGCTGATTACTGCACCACCGTGCTACCTCATATTCAACCATATTTTATTAAAATGTGCATGTGCTGAACCATACCTGACAACATTCTTAGAGGTATTTTCCAGTCTCAAAGCAGGCGTCGTCTCATTTTTATACTTCATGGTTAAATCAAGTTTTGAAACGGGCTGGAATAAAAACACAGATTATCATCACATTATGTAATGTGTTCTAAAATTTTACATGCTTTGCTCAGGGGACCACAGAAAGCCAGCAGCTCAAAGGCTGGACATCCGGCAGTTACTGTCATTACTCAGATTTAACTTACAATTTAAAATCTTGCTTTATTTTAAATGATGGGCCGGTCTGAGCTCACCTGTAGGCCAGATGTGGCCCCTGGGCTGCCAGTTGAAAAGCGTTGTTATAAAAATGTTCTTATCTTCAGATGAATGTGCGTCAAAGTCATATTTGACTGGCACTGACAGAAATGTTTCCCGATGTTTAAAAATTATGGATGGATGGATGGATGGATGGATGGATGGATGGATGGATGTTTCCTCAAATAGAGCATAATTTAAAGGTTCTGTTTGAAAAGCTCTAATGGTTTATTTACTGTTAAACATACAAGACCAGAGCGTTTGTGTATATTTTTGTTGTGTTTGATGTCTCTCCTTCTCGGTGCCTCCGTCTCACAGCGTTTCACTGAAACCAAGCTGCTCTTCTCTGTTCTCCAGTTTCTGTACCAGGCTTGGATCACAGATCCCAAAGCTGCTCTGAAGGCACGAGCCAAAGACAAACGCAAATTTTGGAAGAAATACACCAAAAGAGTGAGAAACAGGAAAAGCAAGAAAGATGGTAAGCTGCTTTGAGTCATTTCATAAAACGTATCGGTGCAGAATAGAGGGCTTTTGCTCAAATAAAGGTACTTTAGTTGCATTATTAGTGTATAAAAGTTCATTTTTTATTATTGTGTGATTATTAAAGGTTGCAGAAATATGTTGCCACCTTTTTTTTTAAACACATTCTTGTTTTCATATTCACTATAATTCAGTATACTGGGTGAATATATTCAGTGAAATCATTACTTTAATGCTGCCCTGTAACCCTAAAGCGTGCTTTTACTTTGCTTCAGCAGGTCATGTGGCGATAGAGGTGGGAGATTTGTCTGATGGGCAAGAAAAGGGCGAGGAGAACAAAAAAACAGCTGGACCAGGTGGGTTTCTACTCATCAGTCACAGCATTTTATAACGCAATAATCACATGGCAGATATGTCTGATGGCATGGGACTTTGTCCAACTGGACTACATGCAATTTATGGACTTGGAGAAAGCATTGGACTGTGTTTCTCAAGGGTTCACTGTGGGAGGCGCTCCTTGAGCACAGGATTGGGGGTCCATTGTCTTTCATTCCGTATACAAACAGTGCAAGAGTTTGGTTTGCATTGCAGCAGTAAGTCGGACCCTTACAGGGTGGCAGTTGGACTCCACAAGGGCTGCTTGATGTCACAGATTCTGAGCATAACGTTTATGGATTTCGGTGAAGCCAGGGGGCAGAAGGGGATTCTGCATCTGCTGTATGCCGAGGATGTGGTCCTGTTGGCGTCATCATCCCGTGATCTTCAGCTCAGGTCATGGTCCTCAGTTGGAAATGGGTGGATTGCTCTCTCCAGAGTGGAAGTGATGTGCTGCTTCAAGAGGAGGAGTTCAAGTATCTCTGGGTTTTGTTCATAAGTGAGAGAAGAAAGAGGTGTGAGATTGACAGACGAATCGGTGCAGATATTGAATACTCTGTACAGATCTGTCACGGTGGAGGGAGCTGAGCTGCAAGGTGAAGCTCTCTGTTTAATTTCATGCCCTCACCTATGGTCAGAAACTTTGTCTCATGGCCAAAAGAAATTAGGTCTCAGATACAGGCAGTCAAAATGGTTTTTTTTGCAGGGTAGCTGGACTCTCCATTACAGGTAAGACGTTCAGTTAACTGGGACAGAGTTGGAGTAGAGCCACTGCGTCCTCATCGAGAGGAGCCTGTTGAGGTGGTTCAGGCATCTGTAAGGATGCCCCCTTGATGCCTCCCTAGGGAGGTTTTCTGGCCATGTCCAACTGGGAGGAGACCCCGGGGATCCTGGAGAGACTACGTCTCTCAGCTGGCCTTGGAATGCCTTGGAGTCCTCCCAAGAGGACAGGAAAAGATGTCTGGGCCTCCCTGCTCAAGCTGCTGCCCCCCGCGACACAACCCAAGGGAAAGATAAAAGATGAATGAACGTGCTTTTCAAATGACACACTCTTCTGCGTTGCGTTGCAGACAACATCATCAAGCGTGTGTTCAACATCATAAAGTTCACCTGGGTGCTCTTCCAGACAACGGTGGAGAGCTTCACCAACTGGATGAACGACATGTGCAGGGAGTACATCGACATCTCTACGGTGCTTCGTATCGAGCGCTGCATGCTGACACGTGAGGTCAAAAAGGTACGCAAGCCCTTAAACGTGAATTATATAAAATACATGAGCATCATTTACAAGTGAAGCCTTCGCCTCCTTCCAGGGCAACGTCCCGTCCAGAGAGAGCATCCACGTGTACTATCAGAAGGCCATGAGGCTGAACATCTCCAGGCAGGCCAGCATGGATCAGCTCAGCGACGACGAGTCGGCCTCAGGCTCCACAACGGTCCGGAAGAGACGAGGAGGGTATCGGATGGAGAGCCAGGACTCCACGGCCTCCAGAGACAGCATGTCCAGGTACACACAGGTTATTAGTGCAACAAAAATAAATAAATAAATTATGTTTATAAAATGTGTATGAAATATATCTGCACATTTATTGATATAGCCAATACATATTCTTTATTTGTGTAATTACCACAATAAAGTTCACGCAAATTACTTTTCGGACCACATGCAGTGTCGTGACTGTGCTTGAAAATAATATACAGATTATTTCCTAAAGCAGCCATTAAAATTATCATGCTTATTTTTTATTTTGTTTTAGCCGCTACATTAATTTCCTCATAATGACTAATATTACTAAAAAATTATTTCTACCGAATGAGAAACACTGGATGTATCTTATGGGAAGTTTTTGATTTGATACTAAAATACAAAATAAAATAAAAGGTTAATGCTGTAGACAGCTTAAACAATGCAGTTAAAACATTAAATATGGTGACAAATGAAACAAACACTGGATCCATTTTGGACTTAAACAAAAACGTAACAGCAGTTTATTCCAAATCAATGAAACAAACACAAAATACTTTATTTCTTCCATTTTTAAATTGTTTTATATCTGTTGAGATTTGACTGAAACCTATTTTTTTTTATCATTCTGTGTATTTTACTTCCTGCTTTCTTCTTTTGTATTTTTTTAAATTCACATTCTGCTCTAGAGATGGTGAGTTTGGGAACTTGGATGTCTTAGATTTTGTGTTAAACCTTGTAATCTTCATAAACAGGAACCTATTTGACAAACTTAGTTCATGTTTTGTGAGAAATCTTTGCTTCATCTGCCATTAAAACTTAAAATTTCTGCATAGCAAGTGAGGAAACATTTTCTTTTTGACTTGGCATCCTTTAACTATCATCATTTCATTTTTTCACCTTCTTGCCTCACAGTGGGTTTTATTCCATAAGTTGTGTTGTGTTTGTCTCATCTCATCCTCCGATTACCTCATCTGTCATTCTCACCCCGTCAGCGTCTGCACTGAGGCCACCACGTTGTTTTCTCGCCAGTCCACTCTGGAAGACATGGACTCAATGCCAGAGAACATTCCCAAAACCAGCGAGCGCGCCCGGCCCAAACTGAGAAAGATGTACAGCATGGACATGTCCAGCTCATCAGTGGACAGCGGCAGCAGCTTCATGTCCAGGTGCCTGGCCTCCCCATCACTCATCACCACCCCTCTTTCACTCACAATATCTTTGCATCTCATGACTCGGTTCTCTGTTCTCTCTGACTCCTCGACCTAAAAGACCATAGCAGACGTATGTCGTGACACATGCTCAATAATCCAGGTAGATAAATCTAACAAGGTTGAGTCAAGTCAACTGATAGAAATTTGTATGGGTTATGTTCAAAGAGCACCCAGGAACTGTCAAATTTAAAAAGGCCTATTAAGCCTGTTTTAATAGTTGAAACTCTTAAAATATGATCCTAAACACATTTATTTATGCACTGTTATTTTGTTTGGTATAAGTAAGATAAATACAGTAATGATTTATTTATTAAAATATTTGATGATAATGATAAATTAGCTGTGCAGTATGATAAAGGTGTCCTAATAAAAATAATTTCTCACAGCAAAGCAGAGGATTTACAGCTCCTCGGGCGATGGAATGAAAAATGTACATCTGTGCAGTACTGTGGCTTTTTAGTTCCTGAAGCAAATCCAGAAGTTCAACCTTCTCCTGGAGTGTCTTAAACTTCTTCTGGTGCTTAAGGTATTTTTTTTTTTTTTTGCCAGAATCCTTAAAATGTGGCATTCTGGCAGCATGGCTTTAAGAATAAAATAAAAAAATATAGAAACACTCAAGCTAGCTAAACTTTTATGACAATGGTATGCTGGGCTTTTTTTGTCATTATTTTATTTTATATGGATTTTTACCTGAAGTTATGGTGAAATTTAAGTTAGGAAACTATACTGTTCTTAATATTTAGTGTTAAAAAGTATGACAAATTATATTTTGTGACAAAAAAAAAACCTATTAACAGTTGCAGAGGATGTTCGCCACAATTTCTCAAAACAATCATTTAAGTTTTAAGGACGAATCCATAAAAGTTCAATGTAACTGGACCTCAGCTTTGCAGGGGTCCGATGAATATTTTTGCTCTTGAAGTTAACAAGTGGTCAGAAGGAAGCCCAACCCCCAAAATGATATGCAAAAGTGGGCGTGGCTTATGACAAAAATGCTCTATTGGGAGGTCGTTGTCCAGTCAAAGTGTTGGGGGTTTGATCCCCAGCTCCTTCTGCATGCTGAAGTGTCCCTGGTCTAGAAGCTAAACAGCTGCCTGTTAATATGGCGTATGAGAGAGAGGAAACAAAGTGTTGTGCGTAGAAATAGAAAATAGAAACAGCACTGTACGAATGTGTGCCAGTGGGTGAGTGGGAAACATGGCGAACAAGGAGAGGTTTAGAAGAAGTGGACTTTTTACCGTTTATAACATTTTTGTCCAATAGTAAAAAAAATTTCAGGACCCATTGATAACATGACTTCATGCACTCTGACTTGGTCTAAATTATTATTTTAGCATTTTAGTCTTTCTGCTTCGTTTTTTGTTTTTTGATTGCTACAAAACTCGTCATGGATCGTCTCCAGACTGTTCAATTGTTTGGATTGAATTTACTTTTTTCTATGAGTTAATATTTGATATTTTGATGCTGTGCTCCCAGGTAACATATTTTATCTGGGTAAATTATCACTTCAGTTCAATTCAATAAAAAAATACTTTATTAATCCCAAAGAGAAATTAAATGTTGTAACTCGTTATCCTCATTTCATTAAGAGGTGTTATCAATGCTGATGGCTGTAGGCAGGAACGATCTCTTGTAAAGGTCTGTCCCACAGTAGATCCGAAGAAAATGGCCGCAGATGCCGTCCGATCCGTCCACCCAGACTCGGCTGGACTCTCGGTTCCTCCAGGCTGCAGGACCGCCCGAATGCTGGGCAGAACTCCTCGCAGCAGCCTGCTGAGCTCCTCATCGCTGTGGACAGCTGGCTGCAGGTGCCGGGGGATAATCCTGGCCCTTCTGCTGTCACAAGCCGCATTTCCTGCCAGTTCTAGGATCTCAGTGGTCAGGCACTCGAGCACATCTGGCAGGGAGACGGAAATGCATCTACGGCACCTCCTTTTCAACTCATTTGAGATTTGGGGCTGTAGTTGAGATATTATTTGAACTTTTTAGATATTAATCAGCATCTCCTGGTTGTAAAAAAAAATAACTTGTTGTCATGGTTACGCATCATAACAAATGTCCAAATGTAAAAAATGTTTTCAATAAAAATCCTTCCATCTGCGCAGCATCAGATACCAGAGGAAACAAAAAAAAGTACATTTTAGTGGAAGTATTTGAAGATAATTCAGAATATTCTCTGGTTTTCTCGTTAAGTGAAACAACTCAGTGCGTCGTACTCTACTCCAGACAAGGCACCACAGACACCATCGAAGAGGTGGAGGACGAGCAGGACCAAGGAGAAGACAAGCAGCAAGTGGAACCAAGGCAGTTCGAGGAGAGTCAGGAGGTCGAGGAGAAGCCATGGAGTGACGGAGCACCCAGGGAGAGAGACTATGAGGAGGTGGATAAGGAGCCTCAGGAGGGACAAGGCGAGGAGGCACTGCAAGGAGAGGAGGCGCCAGAAGATCATGAAAAAGAGGGGACTCCCAGTGAGTCCTTGAGTCCAGACGAAGGTCCCTCTTCAAGGCTAGAGGAGGCAGAATCTGCACCCTCTGCTCCGGAGAATGACTTCATCACGGAGAGCGACAACGGCGAGCAGCAGGACTTTCTGCCGACTGAAGGATCGGCTGGTCTGCTCTACACTCCTGATACAGACGCCTCCAAAACATCTGACGCCGAGGTGCCCCCCAGCTACAGCAAGGCAGTCAGCTTCGACCGTCTGGAAGTCAGCGATGACGACAGCGACACCGATAGGAAGAGGCGTATGATCATGACGTCCGACAGCCGCTCAGACAGCAGGTCCGACATCATGCTGCCCTCCATGACCACGGAGCTGACCGCCAGCGAACTTCTGCTCAACAAGTAAGTCCAAACCCCTGAAATCCATCTAAATGAATCCCCGAAGCTCTACAACGCAAGACTCTGTCCACATGTGTGCTTATTCACCCTAACATCAGATTTATATGCATACAAGTTTGCATGCGTATTTCTGAACCCACGTTTCTGCTCAGGATGTTCTACGACGAGGAGCTGGAGCAGTCCGATAACTTCTACCAATGCCAGCCTCTGATCCTACAGTTCTGCTACGCCCTCTACAACATGCTGGTGGCTCACTCAGAGTTTGTTTGTTACCTGGTCATCATCATCAACCACATGGTGTCTGCCTCCTGTGTTACTCTGGTTCTCCCCATCACCATCTTCCTCTGGGCCATGCTGTCCGTGCCGCGACCCAGTAAGCGCTACTGGATGACAGCCATCATCTATACGGAGGTACTGCCATGCACAGGACGTCATTTAAAATAATATTTTTAAACTGTACGGTCCAATCTATGACAGCAGTGCAGTTTGTTTTAATGATCTGTTAAAATGCACAAATTTGAGGATAAAGACAAGAAATTGACATTGATTTATTGTTCTTTTCAGGGTCAGCTGAAAGATTTTAGATCATGAATCCTTTTTTTTTTTCAGGTCACCATTGTCATCAAGTACTTCTTCCAGTTTGGCTTCTTCCCCTTCAACCAGGACAAGATCAACAAGAACAAACCATATCACCCGCCCAATATTATCGGCGTGGAGAAGAAGGATGGTTACGTCCACTACGACCTGGTCCAGTTGCTGGCTCTTTTCTTCCACAGATCTATCCTGAAAGTAAACACAACCTGCTTTTTACTCTCATCAACAAAATGCCTGCCTCCTCAGATGGAAGGTGTTTAGAGTTTGCTGTATTTGCGGATGTTTAACACGTAACAAAAACGTGTCAGTTCTCCTCACCGTGCGGTTTACAGCGTAACTACCTTTTGTTTTCAGTAAATAAACCAACATTTAACAAACCTTTTTCAAAACATCTACTTTTTTGGGATTTTTTAAGCTACAGTTGTCCCTCGCTAATTCGTACTTCGTTTTTTGAGGACTCGCTCTATCGCGGTTTTTCAAATTAAGATTGGACATGACACACAATTGGCTGATTGATGGATGAGCCGCACGATCAGCATGGAATTTATATTTAAATTAAATTATTTTAAATTATATAGCACCTGCTGTGCCTTTGTGCAGCCGAAACAGCAGGAGAAACTTCCTCCTGCAGCTCCTCCTCTGTGATTTCTGTTCTGCTGCGGAGAAGTAGGCGTGGCCAAGGGTGCACAGTGCAGACATGATGGAGAGCTGAGTTCATGACATTCTGTGCTCGTTTAGAGCGTTTAGAGTTTAGAAACATTGTTTAGAATATTGCAAGAGTGTGGGAAG